CCTGCGTGCTCTTGAGGGCAACTCAGCACTGTGGTTCCCTAGGCTCAAACCAGAGGGGAGCTGCTGCTCATCATGGGGTGCTCATCCATGCTTGAAGTGTGCTGAGCAGCAGCAGAAACAGCTGCCTGGAGATGCTCAGCCAGGCTGCTCCAGGGGCAGGAGCCTCGCTGCCCCCTGAAAGCAGAGCCCGCTCAAGAAGGCCGAGAGCCGCGGGTAGGAAAGTCGCTGCACGCCTGGTACCTTCACTCACTGACCTACATACACGGCAAGCGCAGAGCCCAGCGACGGGYGAGGATGAGGGATTAGCACATTGTCCCTGGCAGGCGTCTCCAAAGAGGAGRGAATGGAGGTTGCAAATGTTCTGAGACGTCTCTGATGTGACAGAAAACTAGTTTCTGCCCTTTCCTTTATTTCCAATTATAAAACAGCGCTGCAAGCCCCTAGCTAAATGCAGCTCTTCCTTCCTTCTGTACGCCACAGAGGATCTCACCTAGCGCTCCCACTAAAATACCCAGATACAAACAGCCACCCACGCCATCTATAACCTCRATGCAGGCTGTAAAAATGGGAAGCTTTAATTGATGCTATATTTCAAGCTGTTGTGCAGCAAGGACACACTCCAGGCTAAGTCCTCCAGGGTATCTTTCCCAGCCCTGCTTTCTTGCAAGCAGCTCCCATTGCTGGTGCCTCCGCTTTTTGAGTGATTACTCACAAGAGAAAAAACACTGAATGCACCAAATTGAGTGGCTAACACACTCATAAGGGGCTTTAGTGCTGTTTTTCTCTCTCCTTCCCCCACCCTTATGGCTGCAAACAGTTCCTCTAAATAACACTCCGCTTTTCCTAATCCCCATAAAAGCTCCTACGATCCTTTCTGTAAGTTTGAACCTGCTCTGAAATGGGAAAGACGCCTGCTCAGCAGTGGCAGGGGCTGCACCCAAGGGGATGTTTCCGTCCCCTGGAGGGGTGGCAGTAACCAAAGGGAGGCGCAGCCACTGAAAACATTTTTGTATGAAAAAAAAAGAAGAGAGAATAAAAAAAGGAAGAGACCCACCCCAGCACGGAGTAAGTGGTGTCACAGGAGGGAGAAATCCACCCTCTCCTGCACATGGTGAGAGATCCCAAAGAAGCCGAAGCCTCTCCATCCTTATCAGTTCAATGGAACCACCTGCACCTSTGTGCAGCCCGGGCAGGCTGGGACAGAACCAGCACCCTCCTCTGCCCTGCGCAGCCCCAACGTGGGCAAGGAATCTCCAGCTCTCAGGACRTGGGCACAAGCTGCTTCCCAGCACCCCAGCTTGTGCCCAGCTGTGTGGATTTGGCTGCCCTGTAAAACAGGGAGAGAGCAGCTGTGCAAACCATGTAATAACTGCTTGGAGGTGGGGGACCCATCAAGCGAACAAAAGGAAGAACCAAGAGAGGGAAATGTGCAGTGCAGACAGGCTGGTTATTAATGCTGCTGATTGTAAGATATTTCCTAGACCTTGCGGTGTCAGCTTCTGGTCCTGAACCTTTCCCTTTCCCCCATGTGCTCAGGAGCCTCTTCCTCTAAYGCCAGTGCTTGCTCGAGACGGGAAAAGCTGCTTCTCGCCCAGGCTAGGGGCTCTCTGTGGGTTTCAGCCCCCTCTCTCCTCATTCCAGTTTGGCTTTGGCTGCTGGCAGGAGCTCACTTGCATCTGGTTAAAGTTGCTTTCAAAGAGGAGCCTTCACCTGCTAGGAGAGGGATTTCTTTCAGCCGTGTCTTTKTTCGGCTTTTCCTGCAGAGGTGTTGGTAGCTTCCGTACTTTCAAATTTTCCTTGGCTCCTGGTATCTATTGAAAATCTGCCTATCAAGAAGAAATTAGAGGGTATCCTTCCCTTAGCTGGGAACATCTCAACGAATGCACCAGCCCTGCCTCTCTTGCAGTCCAGCTTATCATTATGGAAAATCCAAAAGAGCACAGCTTAAGGAACTGGGCTGTGGAAGCGCAGGGCAACATCTACAAGACCCGAGTGCACGGTTMCGTGGGGTGTGCGGGCTGCTCTGAGACTCATCAAAGCTGCCAGCCTCATCCGGGCTGGAGAAATCGGCTCTGCTGTCACCAGGTGAAAGCGCTTCAATTCCATCAGTGAAGGACTCGGCAGAACAAGCTCTGCCCGCCCTCTGCAAAYGCAGCCCTGCATGGGAAGCCGGGAGAAGGGCTTGTGCTCTCCCTCTTCCCTCGGCCCCAAAGCTGCTCTGCGCAGGAGGGGAAAACGCTCTCGCCTTTCAGCAAGAGCATCAGGAGCTGCCGCCCAAACACATTCCTCAGACACTGATTTTAAACATTGGCCTCTGCTGGTCCCTGTGCAGAGCAAAGAAACGGCAACAGCGGAGCATGAGGAAAGGGCGAGTACGCAACACTCGGTGCTGATGGGCGGCTGTTAACGTTTCCAAGCACCTCTCACTTCCGTGGTCACTTTAATGTTTTATAACCCTTTGCTGCCAGTTTGGTGCAGGTTGAAAAGCTGCTGTTGTGGAAGAGAGGGGACAACTTCTAAGTATTTTTCCCTTCCCAGAAGATGGACTCAGTTATCACGTAAAAGAATGAAATCCTGAAATCCCAGTTAAATTGATAGCTACTGCAAAATGTCTCTGCTATTTCTACATGAAGAATTCAACTGTTTCACATAAAAAATATTTTAAAAGTTTTTGCAGTTCATAATTATATTTTACAGTTTCATTACAAAGCTCATTTTAATTCTTCTCCAAACCGTTTCTACCGGTCCTCTTGCCAGCTCCTCTTTAGAAAAGTCATTAAGTCAGGACTGGAGATCATCCCATTTCCCCCAGTTTCAAAGATATTAATCTGTTTTATTGGTATTTCATTGTCATCTCCATTGGAGCCTTCTCAGTATTTGCATAATTTGCACTGCTACCTCTGTCCTGGCAACAAGCGCTCAGCTCCCTCCTTCAATGCTAAGGAGTCACGTTGCAGYCTGTTTCATTTTTTGTGGATGTGATGTCTGTTCTGGGTTAGAGCTGCAGTTTAGGAGAAGGATGCTGGGCTCCTCTCTGCCTGTTTACACCACTGACTTCTCATCCTTTTTGACCTTGTACAAGTCACTTGTGCTCCTCCGTTTTGCCATAACCAGTTTTGAAATGAGAATAATATTTCCTAGCTTAAGTGCTGCAGTTTGAGAATTGGGTTCACACTTAGCTAGGTCAGCACCTGGCTCAAAGGGACATGATCCTGGTTCGGCCTCAGTTTCCCAAGCACAAGAAGGGTTTCTGTTCTCTGGCTATTCAGAATGACAATCTGTGAAACCTTCCATAATATTTCTTTGCAGATTAGACAATATTTACAAGTCTTTTATAAAAAGTTGAAGTCCCCTCTTTCATGTCTCACATCCTCTGAAGTCCAGTTCATCCAGTCTGAGACCAGAGAGGAGATCCTCTCTTCCTCTTTTCTTTAAGGCCAAAGTTTGRCTTTTAGGATATCCTGTGTATCCTGAGATTAGGCAGCAATTTCCAGTGTTAGCAGCTAATCAGTGTTATCAGAGATTACCGTACAGAAGGGCTCACGCAGCCAGCACTGTTTGCACAGGGATATTAACCCRCTGGCTGCGTGGAACTTCATTCCCACGGTCATCATTGCAGCTGCAGCAGAGACGCAGGAGCGTTGAACGAGCTGCCGCTGCGGAGCTGCTGCTGGGCAGGTCTGCGGTAGGGAACACGTGCTCCATCTGCCTTACAGCGCAAGGAACTTACTGGGCATTCATATCGAGGCCAAGGAGAAACCACTCTTGTCAGGCGTGAGCCCCACTTAAAGCAGGCTGGAGAATTCCTGCCCAGCACGAGGTGATGGTTTAAGACCCTCTTCTTTGCACTCTGCTGCTGACACGTCATCCCAGCTTTCACGCATCTACCCTAACCCATATATTAATTCCCTCAAGATCTGGCCCCATCCCAACACCAGAGCCACAGATAGCCTCAGGATACTGGAAAGCGGTGCAGCCGGCGGTGCTGCCCAACAGCCAGTTCTGCACTGGGCTCTGCACTGTGTGTTGCTGGCAGAGAAAAGGTGCCCCCTCATCACTCCCTGCTCGGCAAGACAAGTGCAGGAGCTGAAGAATTGGAACCGACTGAATAATGGGCCCCGTCTGCAGGAAGAAAATGAAATTTGCCCTCATGTTACTGAAAACTTGCACTTGACGCTCACTGAACATTATGTGGAAAAGGTCAGTGAAACACAACAAACGTGAAGAGACCAGTCGGAGAAAGCAATAAATAGTGACAGCAGCCCTCGTCTAATTCTCCAAAACATCTCTGCCTTTGCTCAAATACCAGCAATTTCATTTTCTACACAGCTAGGAGGGCCTGGGACAAACAGCTTTCCTCTTGCAGGACAGGAATATTTCTGTGCCATTTCCCAGGACTCATCAGCAGTTTCAGAGGAAAAGAGAAATACCCATCTGTCACAATTATTATTAATAATAGTAATGACACAATTGAGATTTCTGCCTCAGGTCTGCAGACACTCATGCTCCACTCTTCTGAGAAGAGGAACTCCTCCAGCTGAATGCAGAGGATCTGTGTTTTTCGGTGGCCCATGTAAAAGGCCACGAAACCTATGGATATAGGGACAGGGATAGAGGGAGAACGTAGGGGCAGAACAATTCCAGTACGGAAAACAAAAATGTAGATTAAAAGAATAACCTTCCTGCTTCCCAAGCTGACCTGCAAATCATCCTCATACCTTCCTCACCAGTTCATTGCACCATGACACAGATGGACTGCTGGGCTGCTGACATTCAATAGACGCTGTAACCTGCATCTACCTGCTTGGCACTGTTAGGCTCCTGCTGGGAAGAACTCCCTTGAGGACTAGGAGGAAAGTTCACCACTCATGAACTGGTCCCCCAGAGATGTTTATAAAGCAATGTCTCAAGCTGGTATAAATTGGCTGCAAAGTGAAAGACTCCCTCATTCAAAACAGTCCTGATGCAGCACAGAGGCTGAAGTCACTGGCAGGACTTACCATCAGCAATGAAGTGCTCAGGTACGTGAAGAGTCACCTTCACTGTCAGCGGGCAGGAGAGCTGAGAGCCGCACACCATGGCCAGGATGCAGGAGCTGACGGCAATGAGCGTCAGAGCTGTCTTGTTCACAGGGCTCTTCATGGAACCTGGAAGGCAGAGAGAGAGGTGGGTAAGGAGAGATGAAAGCAGCGGGTAAGGAGAGCCAAGAGTGGTGGATAAGGAGAGCCGAGAGCGGTGGGTAAGCAGAGCCAGCAGAGCAGCACACCCATCAGGAGAAGCAACAGCCCAGCCCCGTCCATCCAGAACAGCTCATGCTGAGAAAGAACTAACTACACCAGAGGCTTCCTTGGCCTCCCCTCAGGTCTGCACGACCACACACATCCCAGGGGCCCAGCACCCCACGCTCCGGTATGCACGGCCACCAAAGTGCCTCACCCTCACAGTGAGGCAAACAAGGCAGAAGAAGGGAATCTGAGGCAGGACCCTGCTGTGCCTCAGGGAAGAACAGGCATCTTAAATCAATACATAGCTCAGTAGCACTTCAAGTTGCTTCTCAAGTCTCCAAACTACAGCCTTCCAATCACATTTTTATTTTAATTATTTTAATTTATACATATATTTTTTAAGCATTCATGCTAACTTACTGGGTTACATCAGGCTGGGGAGCACATTTTCCAGGAGTCCTCAGAAATGGGTTCTCTTGAGAGCCCCACACAGATCTGCTCCCTGCCCAGTCTCAGAGTTGGCTTCCCACAAAACAAATCTCCGAGAGCTGCTCCGCCTTTCTGACCACGGCAAAGCAGCAGTCTCTTCTCATTGGCACCACTTCATCAAGCRAGTTTTGGCAAGTCGCAGAAATAATCAAGCCAAATCCAGGAGCTGCCTGTATCACAGGATCATTCACTTTGCTTGACACCAGGAGAAACCTACGCCTGTAGATTTTACATAGCACCAGCAAGCGTTAATTATTTATACGGATATATCTCAATATTCAGACATCGCACAGGGACTACAAGGAACAACAGAGCAACCTACAGAGCCAGCCGCTTTTTGTAGGCAGGAGGTATTACACAGAAAGCTTGTTTTTGTCACTCACAGACGCTTACGGTATCTTCCAAACCTGGCTCACAAAAGGCTTCTCTGCAGCCGCTACCTCGACGCCTCCTGACAGGTGAAAGATGGCTCTGCAGCAGGCCGCGCTGGCACGGCGAGGTCCCCGTCCCCGCCTGCCACCCGCGCGCAGGCGGCTCGCACCGAGGCCCCCCCGGGCCGTCTGCCCGCCGCCCAGCACAGCTGATGGCTGCRTGGGAGACACAGCTCGGTCAGGGAGGCGCCCCCAGGGATGGGGACACCCCACGCTTGGCCACGCGGCGCCCACAAGGCCTCTGTGGCCACTCTCACCTCCCTGCATTTCCTTGGGAATTCTCTATGCAGCAGAGGAGAGTGGCACCCAAGCGAGGCGGCAGCTCACGCACCAGCAGGTCCTGCCATGGGCAGCGGGCCGCAGCTCTCCRAGCTCTTGCGGCATCGGGCCAGGGTGACCAAAGTGTTCAGTCCATCAAATCAGATCAGAAAGAGCCCAGTGGGCAGACCGAACTGTGAGCTATACAGCAGAAGGAAACAAAAACAGCAATAGACAGGGTTTTTGAGAGACCTGGTTGCCTCGGGGAGTCCAGGGGCTCTCACTCAGCACAGGCCACAAGCACTTTTACCTTCCATATCCTCCGCTGATGTGGTGACTGTGACAAGCTTTGGTCCTCTGGTCACCTCTCCAGCTCATCAAGAGGTTCCCACCACCCATAAAGCGGTTGTCCTCAGTGACCCCAAGGCGACTGGCCCCTTTTCTTCTTCCTTCCCCACCTGTCTGGAGCTCAGAAGGTTGCAGCAGCTTCGAGGTGCTCATGGCCAAGGCTATTTAACCTGGCACCTTGCACCAGCACCAAGTTTTACAGCCTCCCTTCAGAGCCGAGTCCCTTTGCTGAGGTTCGGGAGGCAGCTTCATGCCACCTGGAAACTATTCGGAGAGCAGGGAAATGCCAGATAGGGAGCGAGGATGTGTTCGTGCTACTGCAGGGGCCAGAAAGGAACAGCTTGGACGACCAAGTGGAGCTGCCTACATCCCTGCTCCAAATCCAGAGCACTTATTCAGCTTTGGAACCTGATCCAGGCACTTCCCCTTTACTCCCTGCTCTCAGCAAAGTGAGGTTTAGAAAGTTTCTGTTTGAAAATTGAAGCGGAAATACATCAAGCAAATTAGTGCTCAGGTGCTTTACTTAATACTCCAATTGCTTCCATTTTCAGAAATCCTGGTGCCAGGGCAGGGAATTCACATGCGGGCTGAGCCCTTGTCACTGCCTATGTTTTACAGGATAGGCGGGATGCCCAGCAAAAGCTTCCTCTACAGGGGATGCTTCTGCTGCCATTTGCAGGACAGCAAAAGTGGCCRAGAAGTCCTTCCCCTGCAACCACCACGAGAACACAAAATGTTTATTTATGAAGCACCTTTTATGCTTTTTGCAGGCACACATCATCTAAACCATCCCACTMCTATGCACAGCTTTTATCACTGGTCTCCTATACCCTTCACCTTGGCATGCTATTTTTTTCCCCCTCCCCAGTCTTTACCCCTAYGGTTAGCATAACTCAGAACCTCCTCAGGACAAAAACTTGTCCTCTACTGGGGCATGCTGAGCCCTCCACGATGAAATACTGCTTTTCGTTGGCACTGTTCCTAAAWAAATAAATAAATAAGGGGGRAAAAAAAARTCAGGAAGAAAAAGCTACAATCAGGATAACTGGACACAGCCAGATATRCAATAGAGAACACTGAATCACTGAATTTTACCATTATAAATCACCTTTCAATCCGGGGTCTTAAAGTGCTTTGCGAACATTAAGGTGTAAATCCCTTACGAGCTCGGTGAGTATTATCCCTGTTCTACAAGGGCATGATTTGCAGATACGAGGACAGCACCTTTCCTGCAGCACAGGCGGAGCCCAGGCCGACTCCAGGGGCTCCAACCTACCCCATCCCTTCCGCTACTCCCATGGGCTGCTGCTTTCTGCCTAACTAAGAGGGAAGGAGGCACAGGAGCTTGAAGCAGCAAAAAGCCTGCTCGAGAGGCTTGAATTTGAGCTTGGCTGCATGAGGAAAGGGAAAATGTGCTACAAGTCTCATGTAACCACCTTCCCAACCCCTCAGGCTCCGTCTCCCACTCATATCCATCACATCTCTAATTATTGACCTGCAGAACGGCCTGAAATTGGCTCCGGCCAACTGAACCAAAACAAGGAGACTTCTGCTCCAAGGGAAATTGGATTTCCCGTTGAGCTCTTTATTGCTCGTGGCCAGCTCACGGCCAGGTTTGAAGGGAAGCTATTAGAAAAGCAGATCCTTCCCTCGCTCTTTAAACAGAGCGACATTTCTCTCGTTTTCCATCCCATCGCCTGCTCTTCCGACCACTAACACTCCAGTGTAAGCACTTTTGCACTGCGTTTAAACACCCACCTGGAGATGAACAGCTCAGCGCCAGGCCTCTGAAAACACAGGCAAATGTAGGCTTTACAACCCATTGCTAAYTAAACAAACCCCAACAGGCTCCCCAGGCTTGGGGATAAAGATGCAAGACAAAATGAGGAGCTCCCCCACTGCCCCAAGGGGTTCCCAACCCATCTCGCAGCTGATGATTGACCAGATTGACTCATAATGCCAGAGACCAGAGCTTTGCCCGGGTGAGCCCCTGTCCCCCTCTTTGCAAGCTCAAGGATTCTGAGATGTTTAAATTGCAAATCTGCAAACTCAGTTCAACTCAACAGGATGGAATCAAACTCGTTTTACCAAGAGGAGGAAAACAAGGAAGGAAACGTGCACACAGACAGATGTAAGGACTGAGGAATCCCCCAGACACAGCCACCAAGTTTGGACACTGAGTTTGGGCAGTGGGTCCAGACAGCGGTGCAGGGAGGACGCGCTGTGGGGAATGCCCAAGGACTGTGGTGGGCACCGAGCAACAGCCAGCAGCCAGGAACGAATAACAGCAAGAAATGACTTCTTTGTGGATCAGGAAGAAACAACTTCTCCCTCCAGCCTCTGATGGAGAGAGCAAAGGGCGAAAGCGTCAGAAACTGTTCGGTTTCAGGGGAGAATTGCACCTGAGATTTTTCCTGCTACTGATCCAATTAACCACATCTTAATTAGACTGGGACACAAGAGAAGTTCAGGAATAAAAATCTACTTTCAAAGCCTCTGACCTCACGCAAGTAGCCAGGGATGTGGTCAGAGGCTCCCGCCATCACCAGCTTTCAGACAAGGGATTTTTCCCCCACCTTAATCTAATGCCAATTAGGTTGGCTCTGGCCTCCCAGAGAACGTGCTGGTCCCTTTGCAGACGGCTTAAAAACAGCTCGSAAAGCACCAAATTCCCCTGAAGATTTTGCACCTGCTGCAAGATGAAGATAAATTCAAAGCCATCGGTGTAAACGTGATGCAAATAGCCCCTCCAAACACACCGTGTCTCCTCTGAAATATCACTGCCTCACGCAGCTAATTATTTGCTGCTTTTTACGCTTCTCCCTACCCTGAAAAAGAGGGGGAGGAAGTGGGGGTGAAGAAAAACAAACRAGTCCAAGCTCATTTCTTTTTGGCATTGGCAGCGTTACCTCAATTTTAAAAAAAGGTACACTCTGAACATGTATGAATTTACAAGCAACACAAATATCTTGTGCTCTTGGTAATATGATGTTTCTAAATCAGGCTCATAAATATATGCTTGTGAGATTAGTCTATAAAAAAGACTAAACTTTAATTACCTCCTCTTTATCAGCACGCAGCCCGTAGCATTAGCCGTATGTGGGTGTTACACGCCAAGCGCTTTGCAATCCGCCCCCTCCCGGGATAACAGCACAACCCGCAAYGTTGCGAGGCTATTCCGATATGAAAATATATTCCCACCATCCAGGAAGGACRGGGATGGAGAGGGTGAAGCGGAGGAACAGCGAGTGCCTGGACTGCTTAGCAACGCGCTGGCTGCCCGCTCTGCATCCCAACGTGCTGCCCGTGCCACACTCCGGAGCTCCRGCTCGCTTTGCAAGGGGGTCCCGGGCTGTTTCTGAGCCCTCTGCTGCCTCCCGCACGTCAGGAGAGCAC